CTGTGTAAGTGAACTGACTACTTAAATCACATTTAAACACAATTGTGCAATTCATGTATCAGTTGTAATCAATCATAAAACAGTTATGAGTAATGAAGGAGAGGGATAATTACTGTCTGGAAAGAGATTTACATTCGGTACCAAGAATCTTTGCCAGGGTTACAAACCCTAAAGTGCTCAAATTTGACAAATAAATTCCTAGATGGTAAAATGTGGCAATAATTACAATTGTTTATCTTTTGTAAATTAGAAAAGACACCATTCCCTCTGTATCCCTGGACATCCATGGGCAAGACAGGAAGAATGCGATGGATGACATCAATGCCCATCATCTTCTACAGCAGCACCTGTACAGGAGCAGAAAGCATGTATGAATTGCTCTTCACACACACACACACACACACACACACACACACACACACATGCATACAGTTTGCATCTCATTTGGCCCATCATTTTCTCTCTTTCTGAGCAGCACCGTCACAAATACAGTCGCAGTCACTTCAGCATCAACCAGAATGAGGACGAGGTGCAGGAGATCTTTCAGAGGACCATGAGGAGCCGCCTCGAGTCCTTCAAATCAGCTAAGATGGGTGTCAATCCTGCCAAAAAGATCACAAAGCACCACAAGAAGGAGCTAACGCATAAGGTATTAGACCTTCATGACATCATCATTTTAGACCTTCATGACATCTCTTTCACCTGGATCACTCAATTATAGTTTTGCATCTCTTAATTCTCAATTTATATATATATACTTTTTTCCAGATGCCTAACGGACACCCAGACGCCACAGGCCACCTATACGGAGATGAAGGTAACAATATTTTTTATTAGCATCATTTATTAGTATTTATGACACTAAGCAGCTAGCTAAAAAAATATATTAATTTGAAATAAATTTTAATAAAATATATGATAAATATATTAATAAATATTATAATGAATTTAATAATAGTGTACTAAATAAATAAATAAATAAAGCTGTATAAATACATATAAATGATAGATATTTAAATAATTTATACATTATATTTAAATCATATATATAATAAATTATATGCATCCATTTACATATAAATGTATATTTTATTTGGTTGGCATATTGATTTTCAAGTTTATGCTTTGGAATCTAATGAAATTAATAATTACATAAAAAGTTGTAGTTAAACAAAATTAAAACACAAACCTCCTCAAGATGGTTTTGTTTTAAGTAAATGTTCCTTTACATTAAAAATGGCAGTTTTCCACTTTTTAATAAACTTTCCTCTCTAATTATCAGCATTTGACAAAGCATGATTTAGTGTTTTTAGTTGACAGTGCTGTGGGGAGTGAGACTGGTGCTATCAATAGTACTTTCATGAGAGACACGTATACAGTGGGAGGTAAGAAAAGAGTCTGAACAGATGTTGTTTTGTACATAAAGAGCAATAAATCTATAGGACTACAATATAGTTTGCATGAGTAACACATTTGTGTAAGTAAGAAGTTGAAGGTTTGTGTATGTTTCTTCCATATCTCATTGAAGCTGGCATAGAGAATCCAGTATTCTTGCCAGATATGGACAGTCCCTCTCACAGCCTACCTTGGCTAATGGAGACTGAGGCTGTCGCACCTTCCCAGAGGGCCCAGCGGCGCCTGCCCTGGACACCCAACAGACTCCGGCGTCTTGCACCCATGAGGATCAGCACCTGCTCCACAGACTCCTTCCTCATGGCTGATGTTTCTTTAACTCTGGAGGAACATGAGGAACAGTCCCAAACAGACCATGAAGAAATGTGTGTACACTTCCAACTGTTAATCCACACTTACCTGAAACAAATACAGACGTATTGTTACTGACCATGTGTTTTTATGACTACAGGTGACCGGTCTTTGACTAGGACAATAATGCAGCGTGTCACAAAGCACATCCGCAGTCATAGAAGTGCCTGTCTACAGATTTCAGTCCAAAAAAAACAAAAACAAGGTGGAACTGGAGAATATCTGCAGGAAATCCCACTGAAACTGCCAAATGCCAATGAAATCACATGGACCAAAATCTCATTGATGTTCCCATGGATGAATCCATTTAGGGCAACATGTGCTATTGAGTGCATACAGCAGTAGAAAAAGAAAAGCAAATCGTTTCAAAATTTTTCCTAGTGATGCACTTGCCTTATCCAAATTTGGTATGGTTTTTTAAATTTAAACACTTTGTGAAATGGTTTGTCAAAAACTGTTTCCTATATGTGCTGTCATATTTCCCATTTAAAAAGGAAGCTTGGCCTTTAAAATAGCCAATAACCTTCAGTTTACATCACGGCCATGAACTTAATTTGCTACTTGCTATCTCTAGTCATTTTTATAATGCTGAAAAGTTTTTTTTGTCAACTTTTGAAGTAAATAGACTATAGATGGTCTCAAAGCTAATAGACATGAACTGTAAGCCTCCTATAAGTTTTTAATTAATTTTAATTAATTTTAATTAATCTTTAAAAAATGGTTGGGAATGTGCAGTAATGCTCATGTAATATTATGGAAACTTGTTTCTGCCATGGAATCAGAAAATAAAAAAGGTAATTGCGATTACTTTTACTCACTGCCTGAGAATTATTTATCAGAATTGTGAGATATAAATTATTCTTATTTTTTTTTCATTTTTTATTGTGAGTTTACATCTCACAATTCTGAAATATAAACTGTGAGGGAAAAAAAATCTGAATTCTGAGGTAAAGAGTCACAATTACCTTTTTCATAAAAATTAAAATAAAAATGTTCTCTTTATTTATTTTTTATTCTGTAGTGGAAACAGCTTCCAATATAATATGTGACCCTGGACCACAAAACCAGTCTTAAGTGTCAATTTTTCAAAACCTGAAAGCTGAATAAATAAGCTTTCCATTGATGTATGGTTTGTTAGGATAGGACAGTATTTGGTCGAGATACAACTATTTGAAAATCTGGAATCTGAGGGTGCAAAAAAATCTAAATACTGAGAAAATCGCCTTTAAAGTTGTCCAAATGAAGTCCTTAGCAATGCATATTACTAATCAAAAATTAAGTTTTGATATATTTACGGTAGGAAATTGACAAAATATCTTCATGGAACATGATCTTTACTTAATATCCTAATGATTTTTGGCATAAAAGAAAAATCTATAATTTTGACCCATACAATGTATTTTTGGCTATTACTACAAATATACTCCAGCGACTTAAGACTGGTTTTGTGGTCCAGGGTCACATATAGCGAGGGCAAAGCCATGTAGTCTTTCACAAGATCCAGTTTGTAGTTGAATTTTGTAATGGCACTTTACCACAGTGACGTCACCTCTATAAGGCACATTCTTCCCTGCATTGCAATATGGAACTAAATTAACTAAATTTTGCATTAATATATCATAAGGGTCAATTTTTCGAAGTTTAGATTCATACATCATCTGAAAGCTGAATAAATAAGCTTCCCATTGATGTATGGTTTGTTAGGATAGGACAGTATTTGGTCGAGATACAACTATTTGAAAATCTGGAATCTGAGGGTGCAAAAAAATCTAAATACTGAGAAAATCGCCTTTAAAGTTGTCCAAATGAAGTCCTTAGCAATGCATATTACTAATCAAAAATTAAGTTTTGATATATTTACGGTAGGAAATTGACAAAATATCTTCATGGAACATGATCTTTACTTAATATCCTAATGATTTTTGGCATAAAAGAAAAATCTATAATTTTGACCCATACAATGTATTTTTGGCTATTACTACAAATATACTCCAGCGACTTAAGACTGGTTTTGTGGTCCAGGGTCACATATAGCGAGGGCAAAGCCATGTAGTCTTTCACAAGATCCAGTTTGTAGTTGAATTTTGTAATGGCACTTTACCACAGTGACGTCACCTCTATAAGGCACATTCTTCCCTGCATTGCAATATGGAACTAAATTAATAAGGAAGTATCAAGTAAATTATTAAATAAAGTGAGTTATTCACTCACTTAGAATTCAGCTATATTAGTATTTTAAACTGTATGTGAGTGAATTGAGGTGTTAACTGTTACAAACTATGTTTGTGTAAGGAAAAGATCATTTTAAATCAATGAGTTGTACACTCTAAAAAATGCTGGAGTTGCGGTTGGGTTAAACATTTAATCAAACCGCTGGGTCAAAACAGCCCAATTGCTGGGTTTGTCCCCATTTTACCCAGCACTGGGTTGTATTTAACCCAGCATTTTTTAGAGTGTATCTTGTCATTCAAATAATGTATTTCTTGGGGCATTGTTCTTTTCTTTGTGGGATTAATACAATATTTATCAACATTTCTATATATCTAATCTTGTTAGCCATTTTCATTTCACCCTTCTACATTAGTACAATTACAATGGCTATTATTTACATTTATGAGAGGATATTAATCTGAAAAAAAAAAAAAATTATATGCTATGTATAATGAATGAAATATATTTTTGTAATATTTATATTTACCTTTATTTTTATTTCAGTTTTAGTAATACTTCTCATTTTCATAGTTAATAATCTAATACTACATTTTATTTCAACTTTATTTCAAATACCCAAAAATGATTTTTAATAGTTAATAACACTGAACTACATACTCCTTTCTTGCACAGTAAACAAAAATGCATGTACATTCAATATTTATTCATATGTATAATTTTTGTTCAAGACAAACAGTTCAAAAGACATATCCATCAAAGTTTGCATACATACAGTTTTAATTCAAATATCGGCAATTAAATAGAACAAACAAATAAAAAGACCCAATGAAAGACCACAATTAGAAAGGTGGAGATAAAACAAAAGAGACAAATATATATTTTAAAATGGGACAATTCTGTTATCAATTCATTAATATTATTTCATCACACTTGAACTAAACCATTATATCAGAGCACTGAACATGTGTTGCATCACAATGGAAAGAGTGCTGAAAGAATCCTATGAAGCTCCTTCAAGATGAGAAGAAGCTTGCATAGTATGATAAATCTGATACATAATGTGCTGTATTTAATCACAGATATAGATATCCTCATTTTGTAATCACCAAACCATCATGTTAATAAATGTAACAGCTGGATCTGTGAAGTTCATTTATCAAAAGGTGTCTAAAACTGGAATTTAGGCCAAATATTAGTGACATTACCAATTCCATTATTGCCATTTCATCACATATAGAGAACACAGATTTGTCTTGGTTGCTAAAAATGGTTTGAAGACAACAAAATAATGGGAAAACGCCACTTGGGATGAGTTTCCAGGCTCCTTATGGTAGCTTGCCTGGTCAGTGCTTGATCTATTAGTTGTGCAGTGCCAAATCCTTACAAAAAGTAGCTATAACCCTTGTAGAAAGTTTGGTCCAGAGACCCTGTAACCGGCAAGCTCTGTGATTTAATGTGGTCTTGGCGAATAAAGAGGCACAATCACACCCACACATACAGTTTTAACACTCTTGAACACTCATTATACAGCATATCATATCAATATAACTTCAATATAGGCTAGTTGGGCCCTTAAAAAGGTCGTATTTTATCTGTCTGAGAACAGCACCATCAGAAAAGGCACATTCCACTAACTCGCCTGCCCAAAGGATGAATCTTCACCTCAGCAAAATCAGAAAAATAACATCAATCATCAAATACTCTAAGCTTGAAGAAAACAATTTATCATTTTAGCTCAGACACAGTTATTATACTGAGTTCAAGAGGACACTTGTGCTTGTGTGAATCATCCTGTTTTATCAACTAAATGGAAGTGTTTGAGGCGGTACCTTCATGTTTAAGTCAATAAAAGTAATAACGCGAGAGGACTGAAGGTTCATCCCTTTATGAACTACATAATTTCACTCATAAATACCGCAGGACAATGCAGAGACACTCACGACGTTCTTTTGGAAAACAAGACGAGGCGAATCTACTAATCAATAGTCTATTGCATATTCGCCCAATTATTAGTCACTATGATGATTAACATCACTATTATCATCTTTTGCTTATCTTTCATAGACTTTGTTAGCAAAAATAATTAATGTGCATTATGCAGTTACATTATTTAAAAATATACAAATTTACTTCTCCTCGGAATTAAAAATGCTTTAAGGTTTCCACAGTCCAGCTTTAAGCCAAGGGGTGGAGAGTGTCGCATCACAGTTTTAGTGGGAGGTGTCATTTAAGCCACACCCACCAACTAAAATAGCCCCACCCCTATGTAATGCCCCACCTACAGGACTTTTTTAGCGATTTATTCCGTGGCAACTTCAGAAGGCTGTATATGTGGTCATTTAAAGCCAAACAGGTTCTACTGATCATTCCCCTTATTCAAGTAAGTTCAAATGCTGGTAGCGGCAGAGAAGTAACGGTTCTCAACACATCAAAACAAAAAAAGAGTACCGAAGCAATCTGACATTTGCGCAAGGTTTTTTTGTTTGTTTTGTTTACAGAGCTAAACTCCAGTTAACTTGCTAAAACTGACATTTTATTTCAGCTGTTTGAATATAATATCACGTATGTGGGTTTGGTAATTCACCAACATGATTTTTCTTAAAAAATTAACAAGCTAACCGAAAATTACACCCTGAAAAACTTCCAAACAAGGCTCTGAAGATATAAATTTTTTTCACCTGGTGAAACACTCCATACATTAAAAAATGATATAATTTTCGCAGTAAATGACGAGTAGACAGATTAGCGTAGTTAACATCCCCGAATTACAGCACCACACCTCTTAGCACCTTGGGAGTTTCGCCAAATCTGATACCGTACAGCTTTTAGTTTGTAATTGCAGCAATATATTTGTCAGTCATTTCTCAGAATCTCTCTTGTTCTCCACATACAAAAGCAGATGTAGTTTATGTAAAATAGCAGCTACACTGGTCAACACGTATTTGTGGCTATAGAGCAGAAAGACCACAGTGCCATTCACATTAAGGGCGATGGTAAAGTGTGCCAGAGGCCACGGAGTTAACAAATATAACCCTCCACCTACCCTACTACAATCCAAATGCCTTAACTCAATACTCCCTGCTACCCCTGTTTTCTGAGGCACATTGGTTTGGTTTGTGTGGAATGCAGTTGAATATACAGGGGCTATGAACAAGCAGGGGTTTGAAGAAAAGGGTTCAAAAGAAAGGCTAAAAAAATGTTTGAAAATTCAAACCTTCAAAACAACGTTTCAAAGTTCAAAATAGAGTTTGAAAGTTCAAAAGACAATTTAAAAACTCAAAAGATAATGTCCAAATGTTTAAAACAAAGTTCAAAAGAATGTCTAAAAGTTCAAAAGAAAATGACCTAGGACTGGATTTGTCAGTTCTATATTAGTTCAACTATTCAAATGGCCTTAACAATAAAAAATACCTTAATAACAACCGTTTCAATAGCTAAATTTCTGTCCAACATTTGTACATGCCACTTACTTTTAATATATATTTAAAACATACCCCAATAGAATTGCGTTTTAGGGATATTTCCTATAAAACAGGCACTTTGTCTCATTTGACTTTTTACATGAAAGGTTTGTCCAGGATTTCTTGACAGCAAACCGAGTCTTTCCCATAAAACATACCCATGAGAGTAACCATCTCCTCTGTAAACTCAACCCAGCATTCCAGCCATAAAACACATGATCCATTTCAATTCAAGTTCTCTTACACAATGCCACATACAACAAAACCTTCAAATTAAAGCATTCACTCATAAGGTATGGTTTGCATTGAATAATGAAAGTCTACGACAGAGCCGTGAATAATTGGCTTATTGCACTAAAAGGCTTATGGGACAGTGTCTGTCAGAGTTCACAGGGCTAAAAAGCGAAATGAACAAACTGTTAAGTTAAATAGATAATTTACAGATGCGCTATTGACAATGCAAGTTAAAAGCAACATTATAAATAAGCTCAAAGATCATAAATGAGAATAAAATGTCTAACAGCTGTAAAGTTAATATTAATGGATGACGTAGGCGTCTGAGTAGCCTTGGGTGGAATTATATGTGCACACACATCCATCAAATGTTATGGTCACGCTCCGACTGATTCGAACGCTTGCGTTGTAAGCGCACACAAACCGAATGAGTCACAAAGCATTCAACACACATACATAACCATTGACTGTGGAAACTTTTTGCCAACCCTTGAGTTTCAAAGTTCATCTTTTGGTGATTCTGCAGTTCTTAGCTAATCTGTCACCTCTGCATAATGAGCGAGCCGAGGAGAAAAACGTCAGGAAACGCAAGGAACCAATAGTTCAATGGTAGGTGCAATATTTTCCAGACAGCGCATGGACTAGAAAGTTAATCTATCACAGAAGTATAAAGAATCATTTGAAAGACTGTGGAATTGGAAGAAAAGTGGTGCCTCCAATGTCCAAAAAGCAGAATAAGCCATGGACACATGGAAAATTAGATGTAAAGGGACAAATATGGATTTCCGACTGGTTGGAACAAAATGGAATGACTTTTCAGTTGTCTTGTTTTTTGCAGATGCTAGATTACATTTTGCTGGGAAAACATTATTTTCTATTAAGTTACTAGTAAAACATCAAGAATGGTCTCAGATTAGCGCAACAAATGTCCAGAGGAACAGGTGAGAACCTACAGTAAGATGTCATAGCAAACTTTGCACTGCCCTCTAGTGGCATTCCTCCAACGACCGACTTCACCAAATCTAATAAAATACTAATCCTAAACCAAAAGTGGTTCATAAGATTAGTTTCAACTCTGTTCGAACACACCTGTCTGTCATTTTCAACTGAACCTGACGATGCTGATGTCCAACTTCATGCGTTTATGATTAGTTGTGAAACAAAACTGTGTAGAAGGAGAAATCCAGACAAGTAGGGCTCATCACTCCGGTCCTAAAGAAATAACACTGTCTCATTTGCTGATCTAGAACGAGTTGATCAAGCAAACCTTTTTAAGCTTGGTTTTGTGACCTAAATAGGCAAAATTAATAGTTAAACAGATCTATCTAATAAATAATGGTATAGCTGCAATCTACATATTAAAAACAATCAGTAAGCGAAGCAGACTGTAACGATTGGCTGTTTTTCTATTGCATAACAGTGCTAGTTCCTCCCGTAAGTTCTACATTTGGTTCTCTTTAGCAGCCTGTGATTGGGAGAAGCCCTCCTCCGCTAAGTGCACAATGACCAGAGACTGACAGGTCTGTGGTGGCTGGGCTAAGCAAAGTACATGGTCCTCAGAGTGTCGTGATGGATCTGCACAGCTTTGGCCAGGGCCTGGGGGTCTCGGCCATTACTCTGGCCTGATACATGGCTGCCTTCCGCACTGTGAAAGAGGAGAAAGAAATTAGCAGAGGCCTAAATTTACACTATGAAATACATTTTCCTTGACATACCAAGGAGATGTAAATATATACAGTATGTACACTACCATTCAAAATCATTAAAAAGTGTTAACTTGAAACATACAGAAATATAAAGAAGAAAAGGGAAAAATCTCCTGTTTTAACACTCCTGTTTTAAGAGTTGTGAAAATGTGTAGATACAGTCTATTGATATAAAATACCACTTTTACAAGGTATTGCTGATCTGTCTGAGGTGATCTGTCTTTTAGGTGGCTAGCTTGAATAATTCAACTTCCTGAATTCAAGCCATCACTCTGAATCATTGAAATGAAGAATACTGGCTTACTTTGACAAAGAAACACCTGCGGCAACCAAGAATATGCAAAGCCTACTCAAATCAAAGTGATCGACAACTTCTAAAAGCCTTTAATTTGAATCAAATAGAACATTTCTACTTATAGATACCAAGACAGCGACAGTCAGGCGAGTAAATCTCATACCTGTCGTGCTCTTTATCCACTAAATGGTAGCGGGCTCTAAAGGCCACTAGGTGGGCATAGTAGGCAGGCGCAGGGATGGAAACGGAGCGGGTACAGCGTACATATGTGTGGCATAGCTGGTAGGTCAAGAGCTGGAATTCATCGGCTGTAAAGCAGTTGTCGTCCCATAGCACATGGTAGTGTGATGGTCGGCTTGTACCCTGGGTAAAAGAGGTTAAATAATCATTTTGATGAGATGCATCCATCTTCCAAATGGTGAAACTGAATAGATTTAATAACTCAGTTAATCTATCAATTGATTTAACAGGCAATAACGCAGGGCAAAAAAAAAAAGCCTAAAATGCACTAATATAGTTGTGCTTATGTTTGTGTGACCATACCTGTATTCCAGCATGGCTGCACAGATAAAAGTCAAATTCATAAGGATGGGTGATATCAGTGTCCACTGTGGTACCTGCTGGTATGTTACCACTGCGGCCCACCTTTGAAAATAAATAAAGAAGAAAGAAGAAAAGTGAGTGTGTGAGTTAAAAAAAAAAAAATAAGAAAAAGTGAGGAAAATGTAACAAAGCTTTTAGGAGAAGTCTCTCATATTCACCCTCTCAGTGCGGTCAGCGCAGAAGAGGCGAGTGTGGTGACGTTTCTGTACGACGATGTAGGTAATTCCCGGTTGATATTCCTTCTCAAGGCTGATACAAGCTTCGCGCATGGCCAGCAACTCGTAGTACAGCACCTAGAAATAAAGACATAAAATACAGTTCAAGAATACTTCTGAATATGGCAGAGCTGCACGATAACGGATAAACTGATAATCATAATTATTTTAATAAAAAAATTATAATCTCAATTTTTAATCACGATTATTGTCATTTTAGAAATTTCTTTTTAGATTTTGTCAGAACTTCCACATAAGCACAAATCAAGGGAATGTCAACTTGCATGGGTTATTTTACCTAATCTAGTTTCCTGATGTATTATTTATTATATAAATTAACACACTTTACATTACGAAAATTGTACAAAACAAGTTCTCTCAAAAACCACAGCAAACAGCGCAGATGACCACATGAAAAACAGATTGGCTGTATTACACTTTCATTTAAGAAAAATATCGCAAGTGAAGATCGCCAACTCCAACTTACATTTCTGTTAGAGTTTTCAGCTCATCAGCGCTTTTTTTTTTTTTCTGGAGAGCCTCACCTGTCTGAACTGTCCCTCAGACACACCGTCCCTGTAGAAGATGATTCTGGTGGGTTTGTAGTGGGTGGACTTGTAGAACTGGATGAGCAGCTCTCGCACCATGGACGCCAGGTCCTGAATCACCTCCTGTCTGGGCATCTGGACACGGACAGTAGCGCAGTACCTGCTGGGGTGAGCGTCCATGCTGCCCACCACCTGTGTGAGAAGAGGCAGAAAAAGAGCATTTCTTTGAAATATCTACAGCTGTTCAACAAAAGTCTAACTTTCAGGTCCCTAATGAGAATATGAGTTTAGGTTTTGCAATAATGTGATAATAGTGATTAAATAATGTGAATAAATAATTTTAATAATGTGATTAAATAGTAAAGTGTTTGATATAAAAGGTGTGCATATGTGTTCTGTTTTTCTCACGGCTGCAATGGAGGGTTTCTTGCTGTCTCCTGCAGGTGGATGAGTGACATCAGCTCCCAGAAAAATAACAGGCTGATGGAACACAGATGGGCTGAAAAACAAACAACATAAATTCACATAAAGAGGTATCTGGTATATTTAAGGACATTGTGTTTTAACCAAGGAAACCAAGTTTTCAGTGTAAACTGATTCATTTTATTCTCTTACCGCTGATGGGGTACCAGTATATTGTTGATGCCACCCAGTTTGACATTGATCTTGAGACAGAGGTTGGAGAGGGTCTGAGGGGAGGTTTTCACCACGTTCTTCACCTGAACGCACTGTGTGGCCATTCCCAGAAGAGTGTCTCCAACACGTTTCACTTCCGCTGGAGAAAGAGAGCACAGACTTCAGTGCAACAGTGAGAATGGACGCCATATTTAATTCATTTAAAACTGAAATCTTGTCTGTGAAGAATATAAGTACAGACTGTGCTGAACTCAGTGTGTTGAACTGTTGCATATACATCTGGGTGTCAATCATGAAAATGTGTATTATTTTTTATAACACAGAATAATATTTTATTAAAATATACAATTACAGATTTTATATATACACTAAAACTCAAAATAATAAAGTCCTTTATAATGTTAAAAAAGAAATCATACATTTTCCCTGACATACCAAGGAGATGCAAATGTATACAGTATGTACAATGCCGTTCAAAAGTTTGGGGTCAGTATGATTTGTTTTTTTGAAAGAAATATATACTTTTATTCAGCAAAGACGCACTGAATTGATCAAAAGTAATAGTAATTTGATTTCTAATAAATGCTGTTCAATTGAACTTTCTATTCACAAAGAATCCTGAAAAAAACATAAGTTTCCATAAAAATATTAATCGGCACCAATGCACATAAATGAACCGAACATCAGGTTTAAAGCCCATTTTTTCTGCTAAAGTTTAAATCAGAGACACTATTAAAACATATGCATTAACACTCTCATACTGGCAAGTCACAAGAAAAGGAAGATTCGCCCCACTAATTCTAATCTAATGATGAGGACTTTAGGAAACTTAATGACCAAATAAACATCTGTCCATATATAGTTACCATAGACTGGAGTTTTCCCAGGCAATATGACGATGATGAGTTGGAGGCCAGCATAAGTGTTTTTGAGGTGGCGGAACATGGGCTCCACATTATCTGCTCCCTGAGCGTATTTGCAGAAACATGGCTGGCCCTGTATGGGCATCCCTGCATCCTTAGAAATCTTCCGCAGCTGGTCTGTAAAGCCCCTGCAAAAAGACAAAAGAGAGACACTTCAGTATTTCTGATTTAGTTCAATTAATAAATGGTACTTTGTAAATGACAAAAAGATGGAAAAAGCTTTACTTGAGAACTTCCTCTCTGCATTGTCTCTGAGTGGCAAAGCAAGCAATGGCCCACATCTTGATCTCCACACCAGTATGAAACTGCTTGCCTCTCATGTCCCACACACCATGACTTGGGGTGGCCACTGTACGATTCTGTAACACATGTATTCAAAGGTTGTCTTCATTTGTTGAGATCAAATAGTGTACGAACTCAAGCAGTATAGGGTGTTAATGTTTGGCCGAACTTACAGTATATGTATTTCTATACAGCTGTCATGTTACAATTAATTATTCACGGTTATTCACAATTTACCATAACACACACATAAAAAATAATAAAAGGAAAATGCATTTTCCAAATGCAAAAGCAAGATATTCGAAAAGACAGAAAAAGCAAGCAATTAAACACAAGCAACAAACCTTATTCTGTTTAAAGAAACCCACACAGCAACTCCCCTCAAATTGTAGACATTAAAATTAGCACACATCAATTACAATATTAAATGTTAAATCTAGACACAAACCATGACCAATTTCTAGCCTTCTATTCAAACACAAACAAACATACGGTGCATGAGTGAAAGGGAATGGGTACCATAAAGTGTTCAGAGCTCACCCTGCCGCCATACTGCAGCATAGGGGCGGGCAGGACACGACCCGTCACCTCCGCCATCTCATCCCGCACACGGAACTGGAACTCCTGCACGAAGGGGTCCGAGTTGTAGTTGGCACTGCGCACCTATGGATTCAGAAAGATTAGAGTTGGGACTGATTGAAAATCCTTGGGACAGATTAGGTTTTCCGCCTAGATACCATGAAGAATAGAGACATTGTTTTTCCAAGAAAGCAACATTTTGGTAGTCTACATTCTTGAAGAATTACTGCAGCATCAGAGAGCGACACACTGAACTCACCAATCTGCTGATCTCCTCTTGTCTGTCCGGTGCTGAGCGGGCTGTGGCTTTGATCATGGTGGAGGTTTGGTTGTCTGTTAATTTTTTAATGCAGCGCTGGCCTGCCACAATGTTGCACACCTGAGTGATAAAGAGGACAATCACTTTTGGATCCATTAAAATGGATCAAGAAATCTGAAAATCTTCTAAAAGTGTAATTTAGTGTCTAGAAATGACTCCATAAATCAGAGAAGAGATGGTGGCTGTGGGAAAAAATGGTAGCTAATGTAACTGATTAAATATCTTGACTCTCACCTCCAAAGGCAGGTACGTGTGTTTCTGCTCCTGCCCCACTTGCAGGCAGGGTAGATGGGGAAATTTGAGCTGTAAGTTGTACTTTTCTCTGAAGTATTGTGCCACTGTTCTCTCCACGGTCTGTCCATTTTCCAACTGTAAAGGAAACCTGACCAAGTAAAACAAAAATTAAAAAAAAAAATTAACGGGGAGCTGGGGTGACAAGCTTTAAACAAAAAAGTACGAAAAAATTCTGAAATGGTTTCTTCACTACTTCTTGAAGGAATAGTTCACCCAAAAATGAAAATCTGATGAAAATTACTCACACTTATTCCATTTAAGATGTAGATGAGTTTGTTTCTTCATCACACCAGATTTGGAAAAATTTTGCATTACATCACTTACTCACCAGTGAATCCTCTGCAGTGAATGGGTGCCGTCAGAATGCAAACAGCTGATTAAAACATCACAATAATCCACATGAGTCCAACCTAACAATTAACCTCTTGTTAAAGGGTTAGTTCACCAAAAAATGAAAATTAGCCTGTGTTTTACTCACCCT